GGTAATGTTTGATCTCACGGATCAAATCATTCCGTTGAGCCTTAGTTCTCTTCGTTCATCCATTCATTTATCCACCTGCATCTGTTGATGATGAGCAACGATGTTGAAGTTAGTGCTTAAAATAAGCTGTGACATAGATAAGTGATGTAAGATAAGCAGCGCAAGCCACTAAATGAAATTCAACGAAATGTATCTATCAAACAATGAAAATGTAATTATCACCGCAAATGTGCGAGAGTATATATGTATAGTTGTTTGTTGCTTGTGTATTCGGATCTATGTGTTGGTTGGCTTGTTCATCCGTTTGAATTTGTATGGATTTCTTTCGTGGTGTTCGGATTAGTTTTTTGTGGTTGATATACATTTATACAGCATAATATTTTGCATACACACANACACACATACGTATATATCCTTTATCTAGAATTGTCTATGTTTGTTACTTAGAACAACTCGTATCATCGTCATCATCATTAACAATCGAGCAGCAGTAGTAGTTGATCGTTTGTTCATGAAATGCTCCACAACGCCTATCCACATCTATGCTTGAACCCTTTAGAAACAATACGAACATCCAACTTACACATATGGTAATTAGTGAACGACATGACTCACTCAGTTCGATTATCTGAACGAAAATCTATTGAATCTAACGAATTACATCTGTTATGGTTAAACTTAATCTCACTTTTATCTTCCCTATTCGTATCGATCTTGTATTCATGCCATCCTTCAATATTCAACAAGCAAAATTGTCGAAATGGATAAGAAAAAAATTATCACTACATTATGGTTGTTGTAATTACTAAGGATTTGCATGTTTTGACTAGATAACTTTGAAAAGATTTTCGAGATTCTTATACATTGTAATGAACCTATTATAGAAGGTGAGAAAATTAATCGTCGACAATTAGCTGAAATTTGACAAAGCCTATAAGGAAACGAACTGCATCAGTGAGCGATTTTCGCTTTATCCAAGAAATGACGCGCAAGCGATCTCGAGGTTCATTTGGTTTGAGGAATGGTAATTTGGGATAGAGGGATGAATGAGTACGTTCGAAGGACGGACGCATGGACGACTGATCAGTTCGTCAAGAATGAGGCAATTACTATTAAGTCATCAAGATTGATTGAATAACTTGTTGATCTCCTAGTTCTCAATTCATTCCTGGTGACAACAATACCAGTAACATGCAGAGTTCGGGTCAACTCTTAAAACTCAACAATGGTGATTGACCGAATTTCAGTTATGATAATCTTTGGTTTTCCATGATTATCGATGTTTGAAATCGTAACAATGAATCTTGTCACATTCCGACTGAATCACCTTTTTGTTCGGATACCCTCACTACTCTGAAATGTTGCTCTTTTGCAAATGACAAGATGGATCAAGCTGATGTCAACCGACAGGTGCATGCTTAAAACCAGTGGAGATTCATGCTCGGCTTTATTGCTTGCAACGATAAATACCTGCGTGCACATCAATTACGCAAAACTCAACAATCTTACTCGGAAATAACATAATTGTTATCAGTACCATGAGCAACAGCCAACGTCAATTTAGTTCATTCTTTGTGATTATGATCTGACGAGACTGACGCATATGCAGCCAAGTCGCCTGTGTCTGAACCTTAAGTTGTGAGTTGAGCGTGGTCGTTAACTCAGTCTGAAGTTTTCGCCTCAGATGGATCGATCACTGTTTAGAATGAATGGAATCGATAGTAACAGTAAATAGGTGACAAGAGACAATGAGAAGCGAACAAAACACGCCGATAACAAGCATGATAATAAATTTATTTGGACGTATTGTTTCTTTTATATGAATCCATTCTCATATATGAATATGCATGCATTTTGCATGAATGTATAAAATATGGATGAAACAAAGATAATATGAAGAGAATTTTGGTTCAAAGCATGTTTAAAGCAACAAAAGAACATCTTATTGTATGTATATGTTCGTAAATGCCTCAATTTTAGTTCGAAGTTGACACTGACAGATTGAGATGAACGAATCAAAAATGAAGACGAACAAAATGAAGGGCACATGAAGATGAAACTGAATAATAGCAGGAAAAGGAAGAAAGAGGTAATTGTTGATACAAAGATGCTATTCAATCCATTTCAATCCCAACATTTCTGATTGCTTGCAGACGCATTTACATATCAGTATAAAGCTACCACCATTATATTTATTATTATCATTATCATCGTTATCACTCTTATAAGTGTTAGTATTAATAGTATACTGAAGATATGAAATTTAATTACACATTTATATTTTATCATATACCAAAATCTTATTATTGCGCGTGATTCACATGCAAACATGATTAACTATGTGTCTAGAAGACCATTGTTTCTACGTTCGCAATACTTTCGATTTCAGCGATAGGAATAGAACAAAATGAATAGAATATCCATCGGATCGATCAGAACGACCAGTCAGAATGATCGAATATGAAAATGCTACTTAAAGAGATAGTTCGTCAACGGATATCTGGATAAGCGAACGTATTTGATGAAATAAGATTCAATGAGTCATTCACGTTAATATGTGAATATTCATTATGGAGTTGATGTCTGGCAAAATCAAAATTGTTTTATTTATTATATTTATTGGAACGAAATCATTGAAAACAAAAACAAATCGAAAAAGATCTCGACATTCCAGTATTAACTGACTGGATTAATATTTCATCAAAGAACAGGAAAGAGTTATTGTAGGTTGGTTGAAAACAACAATGATAATTTAAAATAAGTGATGAACTTCTGAGATTTCCGAATGGACCGATGATGGAAGCAAAGTTGCTTGCTGAGGTTTGCGATCATGGTGGCAGTTCAATGCGGGATGAAGAGGCTGCACAAGAAAAAAGAAAAAAATTACTGTTATCACTGTGCTATTATTACTATTTGAGTTTGTTAAATGAACACAGAAGTAATATTTCAAAAGTTTTGTGTCTGTTCTCAGTATGATACATTCAGTGAAAACAAAACTAACAGGATATGATCTGAGGAATAAGATTTCGGTTTTGTAAAGGTTGATTCAAATTGTGCGAAGAAGAAGATGTGAACGATCGAATATGATGAGTGAAGTAAGTGAAGTGAATGAAGCAGAAGCAGAAAAATGGAGATAACTAGCATTGTTTGGTCGAACGATAATTGAGCCTTGCTACTGGCTGACAGACAGACTGAAAGAAGCATTCAGAATGAGCCTAATCTCAATAAGACCAAACTCAAATAAAAACTTTAAAAAAAGTTCACATCTCCCACTAGGTGGGCATTCAATGACGTTAGAATTTCAAAAAAAAAGGCAGGATTCTGGACATAACTCTGGGAATCTTAGTTTCATTCCAACACAACTCAAAAGTGAGTAGGGCTGTTGAACTCATTCTTTCATCTGAGAAATATTCCGAAGTTGTAGAATGGGAGCAAAAGTGATACCCATTTCTCCAATGGCTTAATTCTATAATACTCTCAGGCACATGAGTTAACTGACTACAAGTACGTAAAGTTACGAAGATGTTAGAAATTTTAAGGCGTTTACTTATAGATAGATGTTTTTCACGCCTTCTTCTTTTGCTTTATATTATTGTTACTGGCAAGTTATTGAACATGCCTAGCATTTGACCGCAGCAAGTTCCATCGTACTGTGCCATCATTGTCATTATACGCAAACGATGTGGAATAAAATCAAATCAATTGAAAGTATTTCAATAGCAAATTATAAGAAACGTGAAATTTCAACGCTAAACAATGCATCGAATTGTGAGTTCAAGTACTATTGCGGTCTAATTTCATTGCAACGAACAACTCAAGAAAGCTTCATTCCTTAACCATTCGTTCGGTATTCAAATTCGTTTCCATTTATCTATCATCTGTGCGTAACTACACGTTTAGACACAATTCTAATTTGACGCGAATTTAATCTCCGTCAGATTAGATTAACATGCATGCCACAGGCTTATCTTTTCAACCTTTCAGAGAATTTTTGAAGCCTTCCGGCCAAGCTTGACACGACGAACCGATTAAGAAGAATCGCGTTCAACACGAATCGGGGTTTATGGACGCGGTACCATAATTCAATTGGGGCTAACACTAATCCATTGCTAATATCCTCTTGCTAACAGAAATAGAACGAAACTGTTGCAAGAGGAACTACGTATATAAACATAATTGCGTATATAAACACATCTTAATCTGAAAACGGTGTCAAGGGGTGGAATTTGCTGACTCTAAACTCAATGACTGCAAGGTTATACAGCGACATCTGGGTTGCTCGACTTTTGCTTTGGCGGATTCGTAATCACCCAATTTGCAAACTCATAGTTAGATAGCTCGACTGTGCATAACTCACAGGCTCGATTCTTATGATCCAAAAAGACATCGATTGAAACTTTTCAAGTACTCAAAATTTGTCGACAATTCATGAAAATGATTATAAGGTGATGAACATTTGAACATTCTTATTCGCGGGTTGGTTGAGCTGGTTTGTTCGATTCACTGAGAAAGGTTATGCGCAGAAAGCATTTTGAGTCTTTGTTGTTGTATCTTATGAAAAGAATAGCTGGGATGTAGTTCATTCATTTATCTAAGGAACATGACACTTTGAATCGACAAAATCTCCATTCGAATTCCACTTTTAGTCTCGTATCAAAACTATCGTGTCAGCAATTTGATTGATATGTGTGAATGCACACACATATATTTGCACGCATACAACCAACCATTTATACTCATCCTCATATACGTTTTTTATTTGCTGATTATTCTACAGGAATTCGTTTATTAAACATCCAATTAATTCATGATCTTCACTCCAGTCAAACTATGAGCAGTATGGTCGTTGTTTAGGTTGTACTCTTCTGGCTTGACTCATTCAAAAAAATCATACTTTGATGTGACTGGCAAAGAAGTGTAAAACTGAAGCGCTCAACTGTCTCAATAAGAGATTTCATCGAATATGCACCACCCATATCCGAAAGCACTTACCACTGTTGTTATTGCTGTTCTTGTCGTATACGTTCTCGTAGTGAATTGGTGTCTGGTGAAAGTGCCAGTAAAAACCAACCAGAAAGCGCAGCAATCGCACGAACAGCGCTCAACCAACGCCAGATCAGGTGCGGACTCACACCCAACTCGATCTGAAATTATCGTTTCAAGAAATAAACAAAAATTTTTTTAGACGGAACAATTCTGGAGTCCTCTCGTGTTATCGAACTTTTCAAGGTTTTTCTTCAAATTTCGTCACTGATTGACTGAATGACTTTCTACTACATCATATTTGATGGCCAAATTTTAACTTGCACCAATTGTTGTTCGTTTGCCATAAGTGGTGGAAACGCACGAATCAATCAAACCGACAAATAGACGCACATTGAACCTATCAGTTTATCTGTTAATCAATCTCATCGAATCAACTGCCTCGAATTTCACCAGCAAATTACACATCAATCAAATCTTTATGTTACGAAAAAAGCTCTTCGTTTTAGTTGCGCTTGATTTACCACTTATTTGGTGGTTGGTTGCATTTGTTTAATGATTGTTGAGCTTTAACATTCCCTTATGCATATTTTATGCATCAGTGATTCTCACGCTCTCGCTTCCCGTTCCCTCCTTTAACGGTAACAGATTGTCGATTCCCCCCCCC